CAAATAAGGAAGATACATGAACAATATTTAGAACGACATGCACCAAACGGCCTTGGGCCCAATTCACATCTCTATCTAGTGTGTGTATATATATATATATATATCAAGTAACTGCGGTCCCAAACACATCAGACGGCCTCGGGCCCAATCCATTCATGTTAGACTAGCCTTTGGCCCATTCATTCTTTCATTCATCTCAGACTAGCCTTTATTCATTCTTTCTTTCATGTCAGACTAGCCTTTGGTCCATTCATTCTTTTATTCATGTCAGATTGGCCATTAGTCCATTCATTCTTTCATTCATGTCACACTGGCCTTTGGCCCATTCATTCTTTTATTCATGTCAGACCGGCCTTTGGCCCATCTGTTCTTTCATTCATGTCAGACTAGCCTTTGGCCCATTCATTTGGCATAGCAAAGATTTGTCCACAATTCGAATTAACGAGCTTATACGACTTATAGGGAAATAAGCAATTGGACAAATAACATACTTCAAAACATCTTTATTAAGATATTACTCACAGTGTTCTGCCGGTGGATTCACCCTTGAGCTTGACCCTACATATTATATAGCACACATGGGTCACAAACGATTTAATCCGTTCTTAATTCATATACCCCTCTTAGGCTTCTTTCTTATCATTTTAACTCATTTATGATGCTCAATGCATGCCTAAGGGTGCTTAGAAATGAAAGATAACGGAAAATGAAACACAGAACACTGTTTACAAAATTTCTGAAACAGGGGTCCCCGCTTGAGCGTAGACTTTCCCGTTCGAGCGGACCCATTAGGTCTGCAAAAGTGCTGGTTGCCTCATTTTTGCGCTCGAGCGTGCATTTGGACGCTCGAGCCGAAAGTCACTCTACATAGCTCCCCGCTTGAGCGTGAACTTCCCCGCTTGAGCGGACATCAATGTCTGCAAAACTTCTTGGAGCTCGCATTTCACGCTCGAGCGGCGATTTCCCCGCTCGAGCGGACATGCCAAATTCTAGAAAATCCAGAATTGTTCTTGAGCTTCAAACTTGCATTCAAATCAACATATCTTGCATATTATGACTCAAACCTCACATATACATTTACTAACATGATCCAACACCAAATTCATTACATTATGAAGCTCAATTTCATGAATTAATCACATGCATGTCCCAAATTACACCAAACTTATTTCCAACATAACAATTTCATGTATTCAAAACTCATACTCTTATGAATTGTACATGCATTTGAGATATAGCTCTCATTCTCAATTTAAATGATGAAGAGATGATCAAAAGCATGAACTTCAATAAAAGATTTACATAGATCATGTCTTTCAAGCTCAAACATACAAATTCATGGCAATTTCCTACATGCATGTGTATATTGACTTTCAATTCAACAAAACCAACTCAATTTCATCATAATCAATTCAATTCATGTTCTTGATCAGCATTCAACTTTGAATTCACAAAGTTACAAACTAGAATCCATGAATTTACTCACCTAGAAGCTCAATTTTCCCAAGCTTATGCTTAATTCTTGAGTTGGTCTTCAAATTATTCAAGCTTCAAGATCAAAACTTCAATTTCCTTCACCCTCTCTCTCTCTAGCCGACCCTCTCTCACTCTAAGGTGTAAAATCTGATTTTTGAGCTCCAAACAACAAAATGACAGTGCAATTGGCCCTTTATATAAGCTCCTCTAATCACATTATTTTAATACTAATTGATTAAGCACTATTTCATCAATTTAATCTAATCCGAATCAATTTCTAATTAAATTTCACCGTAGGCTCTAAAAATTACGCTAACCACAATGGCGTAGTCAATTTCGGTTTCTGTGGCCGATAGGGCCTTCAATTTAAATTCTAAAGTAGAAAGTCAAACAGATTTTCCTACGGTGAACATATAGAAATTCAAAACCACATATATTCATATAAATAGTACCCAAAATCACATCAAACACATAATCATATTCATAATAAGGATCAATTAGCATAATACGGAACAGGGTTATCACAATTACTCAATAAATTTTCAGTAATTTGCTTCGTAAATTCATATTAAATTCTAAGTAAATTACCAGTATATTTCTCAGTAACTTTTCAGAAAATTACTCATTAAATTATCAGTAAATTGCAAAAAAAAATACTCTATAATTTTCAATAAATTACTTAGTAAATTTCGAGTAAATTTCGAGTAAATTCCCAGTAAATTACTCAGTAAATTCCCAGTAAATTACTATGTAAATTCCTAGAAAATTACTCAGCAAATTTCCAGTTAATTCCCAGTAAATTCCCAGTAAATTACTCAGTAAATTACTTGGTAAATTTCCAGTAAATCTTTAGAAAATTAGTCAATAAATTCTCTGTAAATTACTTAGTAAAATCCGAGTAAAGTACTTAGTAAATTTTCAATAAATTCTCTGTAAATTACTCAATAAATTCCTAGTAAATTACTCAGTAAATTCCCTGTAAATTATGCAGCAAATTTCAAATAAATTACTCAATATATTCCCAGTAAATTTCCAGTAAATTCCAGTAAGATACTCAGTAAATTCCCAGCAAATTTCCAGTAAATTAGTCAGGAAATTCCGTCTAAATTCTCAATAAATTACTCAGTAAATTCTCAGTAAATTATCTGTAAATTCCCAGTAAATTACTCAGTAAATTCACAATAAATTTATTTGTAAATTCTCAGCAAATTTTCATTAAATTCCCAGCAAATTACTCAGTAAATTCTCATGAAATTCTAAGTAAATTACTCAGAAAATTTTCAGTAAATTCTCAGCAAATTACTGAGTAAATTCCTAGTAAATTACACATTAAATTCAAAGTAAATTCTCAGTAAATTTCTTAGTAAATTCCTAGTAAATTCTCAGTAAATTTTCAGTAAATTAGTTAGTAAACTCCCAATAAATTGTTAGTAAATTACTCAATAAATCCTTAGTAAATTCCTAGTAAATTCTCAGTAAATTCCAAATAAATTCTCAGTAAATTCACAGTAAATTACGTAGTAAATTTCCATTAAATTCTAAGTAAATCACTCTGTAAATTTTCAATAAATTACTCAGTAAATTTCCAAAAAATTCCCAATAAATTACTGAGTAAATTCACAGTAAATTACTCAGTAAATTCCAATTAAATTATCAGTAAATTCTCAATAAATTACCAGAAAATTTTCAGTAAATACTCAGAAAATTTCTCAGTAAATTCCCAGTAAAATACTAAGTAAATTTTCAGTAGATTCTCTATAAATTCTTTGTAAATTCCCAGTAAATTACTCATTAAATTCTCAGTAAATTCCCAATAAATTCTATGTAAATTACATACAAAATTCCTACCAACTTGCCAGTAAATTACTTAGTAAATTTAAAGTAATTTCTCAGTAAATTACTTAGTAAATTCCTAGTAAATTCTCAGTAAATTCTCCATAAATTCCCAGTAAATTACTCAATAAATTCATAGTAAATTCTCAGTAAATTCCCAGTAAATTACTTAGTAAATTCCTAGTAAATTCCCAGTAAATTCTCAGTAAATTACTCAGTAAATTACTTTTTAAATTTTCAGTAAATTCTCAGTAAATTACTCAGTAAATTTCCAGTAAATTTGGAATAAATTACTCAGTAAATTACCAGTAAATTACTCATTAAATTCCCAGTAAATTACTCACCAAATTCCCAGTAAATTCACAATAAATTCCCAGTAAATTACTCAGTAAATTCCCAATAAATTCTCAGTAAATTCCAAGTAAATTACTTAATAAATTCCCAGTAAATTACTCAGTAAATTCTCAGTAAATTTTCTACAAATTTCTCAATAAATTCTCATTAAATTGCTCAGTAAATTACCAATAAATTACTCAGTAAATACCCAGTAAATTCTCATTAAATTCCTAGTAAATTTCGATTAAATTACTCAATTAATTCCCTGTAAATTTTAAGTAAATGCTCATTAAATTACTTAGAAATTTACCGGTAGATTCTTCAGTAAATTCCCAATAAATTTGCAGTAAATTCTCAGTAAATTACTCACTAAATTCTCAATAAATTACTCTGTAAATTCCAAGTAAATTACATTGCAAATTCACAATAAATTCCCCGTAAATTACTCATTAAATTCCTAGTAAATTCCTTGTAAATTACTCAGTAAATTCCCAATAAATTCTTAGCAAATTACTCAGAAAATTTTCAGTAAATTCTCAATAAATTCCCAGTAAATTACTCAGTAAATTCCCATTAAATTCTGAGTACTTACTTAGTAAATTCTCAGTATATTACTCACTAAATTCTCTGTAAATTACTCAGTAAATTCTCAGTAAATTACTCAGCAAATTCCTTATCAATTCACAGTAAATTACTCAGTGAATTCAGAGTAAATTTCCATAAATTACTCACTAATTCCCAGTAAATTACTTAGTAGATTCCCAGTAAATTCTCAGTAAATTGCCAGTAAATTCACAGTAAATTCTCAGTAAATTCCTCGTAAATTACCCAATAAATTTCCAGTGAATTCCTCAATAAATTCCAAGTAAATTATTCAGTAAATTTCCATTAAATTAGTCAGTAAATTCCCTGTAAATTCTCTGTAAATTACATAGAAAATTCTCAGTAAATTGTTAGTAAATTACTTAGTAAATATCCAATAAATTCACAGTATATTCCCAGTAAATTCCCAGTAATTTCTCAGTAAATTCCCAGTAAATTACAAAGGGTATTGACATATTTTACCTTTTATGCAGGTCCACACTCTTTCAGAGAATGGACACTCAAAGGAAAGGTGGTTATGGTCTTCACACGGATGCGCAAACGAGATAACACCAGTGAAATCATAACTTCTTTGTGTTCGTTGCTTCTCTCCAAATAGGACTCCCACAGTGTCCACAAATGTAATATGTTCAAGCAGCTGCAGGTAGATGAGGAAAATATTTTGTTTTCATAAAGTGATTAGGGGAATGAATTGTTCTAATAATAATGCAATAGAAGTTTGGTTGAAAACTTACAGTATGTGGCATTTGAGATCACTCAAATTTTGACAGAAAAGATCCTCCAAAAGTGGTTAGACCACTAAATGGCATGTCTGCATTAATAGCAATAGTGTTCCCAAGAATGCTCCTTTCATTAGGTCTAGAGTAAGGAAGAACAATAAGCTATTGAACATTACATATGAATTTGACAAATAAAGTAGGATATTTTAAAAAATTGGAAGTATAATTTTTTGTTACCAAATGATTGGTTTCAATAATAATAAATCCACCAAAACAAGATTTTATTTCAAAAATAAGATGGGAACATGAAAACAACTTTTAATTACCATAACAATAACAAATCTGTCAGTTGTAGGCTCCGGTCCAATGTGAGCTCCTATCACAATTATTATAAAAAGAAAAAGAAATAGAAAAAAAGAAACAATTGAAAACCAAGAACCAATGTAAAAAAATTATTACCTTCTTGGTAGATTTTGATGTAAACAAATTTACTGAGAAAGATGGCTGTAGCATAGTACTGTCTACATTGACATCAAAAAAATATTTTAAATGAATTGAAACAATGTCATTTTTATGTCAAAATATGAGAATTTGTACTAACCATTTGCCTTATAATTGTCATTGCTTTTAGAACCCTTATGCTTCTAGAGGAAGAGGAGCACCAATAAAAGGTCAATGGAACTAAAAGTCTCCTTTTGAAGTAACTGTAAAAAGAATAAATAATATGACTACTTACTGCTAGCAAGTCATCCATACCTTCCATCAATGGTGGTTTTATAACCTCTCTGTCATCTGTAAAAGTAAAACAAGAAAATCACATCAACTTAAGTCAAATACCAAAGTAACAATGTACTGGAAGTGTTAAAGCATGAACCCTGAACTCAACAAGAGACAAACCTCATCTACAAGAGTATATCCAAATTCCAACTTCAAGAAGGCCAAATTCTTTAAACCCAAAGGTCATAGTGTGAAGGGCACACAAAGTGACATGATATTAGCTTTCTCTGCAACCTGGTTTTTTTTTTTTTTTAACATACTTAGTGAAATATAATGACAATTACCTTATTGATAAGGAGATTTGAGTTCATTAAATCAAAGAGTATATTTTTAGGATTTTTTTTCAAACATCTCATTTTATCAAAATTGAAAGTATTACATGCAACACTTTGTCCACTTGGATCATATCGATATTAGAACCTAATACATGTACTTGCCATGAGCATTTCTTCTTTAAAATCTTTCTGCATTCATTCTAAATTTCAGTTGAATTCTCCTATGGATTAAGGGAGTGTATGCTTAAGCAGCATTCTCTAAGGAACTCTACAACCCAAGGTCCTAATGCCAAAAGTTCTTAATGTTAGACAATTTTTGTTTAAGAAAAAATAAGTAGAGAACTTAGCCTCATGTGAGCAGTAAGGTCATAATATCTTGTGTACTGGTTCTTCTTTAAAAATCAAACACTAATGAGATGAATAAAAAACCTAAGCTTATACATCAAAAGTAAAAAAGAGAAGTTATCTAGTAGCATATGCTGCTCAAATACTAAATACCACTTGCATACTAAATCTAATTACCCGTCACTTTAAGGAGATCTTTGTTTAATTCATGTCCTGCCTATGCTAGAGACACCAACTGTCATTGTAACAATAAAACAAATGTCATATCTCTACCAATTTGTTAACAAAAACACAAGAAACAGCTCATAAAGTACAATCTGAATCGCAGTAATGAACTCCTTAAAACCTATAAATCCTTGTCGTTTGGAGTCTGCGATTGCCCAAACCTTTAAAAAAAAAAAAAAAAAAAACATATTTATAAGGAGAGAAACAAAAACAAAAGGCAAGTGTAAGCACTTAAGAACTAACCGATTAGAAAAATGACAAAAACAAAATAAACTATCACATGAAAAACTTGCAATATTGTTTCTCATAAAATATATCAATCAAAAACATCATGATCATCATTATAAATGAAATTAAAAAATCCCACCAATAAATGAGTCAATTTCCAATGAAAGGTATTCAAAAATCAAAATTGCCAAAAAATCAAAATTGTTCCTCATTTGTAATTTTGAAAACTAAAAACAAATTTCAAAGTGTAATTATACAACTGCGGGGTAAGAGTAACAATCATTTAAATTTTACATATTCATATATTTGCTAATAGATGAGGTCACACTGGATGTATGTATGAATCTGTTTCTTAATAAAAATGTTTTGGACACATTTTAGTGTTTTATGGGAGGGAGGAACTAGAAAGACTTTTTGAATAACTATTCGTGATAAAAAAAAATTTATAGGGTATTACCCTTCCCTGCATCAGTTTTATCATTATTTTCATCACTATGTCTAGTGAAGAAGAAAAGATCACATCAACTAGAAGATTTTGATTTTAAGCCACATGAATGCAATTGCAAAAGCTTGTAGATTCTTATAGTTAATATTTAAAAAATTGAGGTTGAGTTTTCTTAAACCACAGGAGAGAATGATGTAGTTCAGTAAATCAATATAGAAACAAAGCAACAAAACACAACAATTTTAGACAAATCTAAGGGTTTCAATTTCCTCCAAACCAATGTTTGATCAAATATGAAATTGCTATCTCATTTCTCTCTCTAGAAGTACGAATTAGTTACCTGGTGAATGAGAGAGGAGAGATCTGGATTTGTGTAATTTAAACTACAAATCAGTTAAGAAAATAATCATAAATTAGAAAACGATTTATGGAGAAAATAATCAGTTAAGAAAATAATCAGACAAATCAAAAATTGTATACGATTGATTTATATATGTAGAGAAAGAGAGTGTAAAGAGAGAGATGATGAATCGAACTTACAAAGAAATCGGAATCGAACAACCTCGCCGTAGAAGAAATTTGTTGCCGAAGATGCCAAGGCCAACGGCGGATTTACGGAGGGAAATCAAACTCCAAGGGGAATCAATGCCAAAGACGCGTTCATGTTTCTGAATCGGAGGAGCAATGGTTGGTGGTGGCGCTCGTGTGTTTGTGTGAGACGCCGATGGAGAGAGAAAGAGAGGGAGAGAGAGAGAGAGAGAGAGGTATGAGAATGATGTATGTATGCTACCATAGAAATTTTCCAAGTGCATTGTTCAATCCTTTGCATAAAAAATAAAAAAAATAAAAATTGGAGGAAAAAATTGTAGATAAAAAGATTTCAAGTATGAGTTTATAAATTATTTTTGTATCAAAAAAATGTAGATTATAAATAGAATATCTAGTTTATTGGGGGGAAAAATAAAAAAAAAATGTCATATTTATGAGAAATTTATAAATATCTAAGAACATGTAGAATTTTTTTATTATTATTTATTATGAAAATATAATTTGGTAAAAAAAACATCTTGAATTTATAAATATCTAAGAACATCTAGAATTTTGTTTTTATTATTTATAATTAAAATATAATTTCTCTAGAGAATGAGAGGATTTGGGACAAAAACAGGTATGGATCTAAAATGAGAGAGAGTGTGGCGTAAGTTTTTAAATATTTTTTTTTTACTTTTTAAATTCAAATAATTTTCATATACTTAGAAGGAAAATATTTTTTAATTTTCTAAAACAATCACTAAATTCAAAATATATAAAATTTAATATTTTACGACATGAAATGCATGTTGTCTTAAGTGCAAATATTTTATAATATATTTTTGTATGCCGTGAAAATATACATTTTTTATGGCATACTTTTGTATGTCATAAAAAAATCGAATTGAATTTTTTTTTATTTTCTTAAAGAAGTTTTCACGACATTCATTAGCATGTCATGTAAAGTTATAATATTTTACAACATGAAATACATGACGTCTTAAGTGCAAATATTTTACGACATATTTTTGTAAGTTGTGAAAACATATATTTTTTACGGCATGCTTTTGCATGCCATAAATATATGAATTAACGACTTACATGATATGTATGCTGTTATTGACAAAACATTAACGGCTTGCAAAAAAAATGCCGTAGAATGTACTAACTACGACATGCATTTAATGCATGTCGTAAATATGATGCCGTAAATAGTTAGTTTTGTTGTAGTGGTGTTTGGGTGTGCACCCTGCATACCGTATGTATTTGCATAAATTTTCACGAATATATATAAGTTAGCTTACAAAATCGCATCCCTGCCATAGGTTTATTATTAGCTAATGATACTAGTGTTGTGAATAACGTAATATCACCGTTGCATTGAATTTTTATTTTTACTCTACAAAGATATGAGCCATAACATTTTGATTCATTTGCCTTTCATAAACTATTGTTATTAAAATCATGATTTGGATCTTAAAATCTCATGATTCAATGATTTAAGTTAGGCCAAGCAATCTTGGATTGCACATTAGAATCTTAAATTTTGCAATATCTTAAAGTAATTATAATCTTGGTCATAAACCATACTACGATCTTGTTCTTATTATTTTTTTATTATATATGTATATATTTATTTAAATTTTTTACTATAAACTCTTTCTCCAAACATTTTCTCTAATTTATATTAACATAAAATATATTATATCAAATTTATCTTTTTTCTTTAATGTTTTTCAAATTATTTAACATACATTATCATTATTGTTAATTTTTGATTTACTTTACATTGAAAATAAAATCTTATGATCCTCTATTCGTTTTATAGACAATTTTTAAGTGGGTAAGTGCATACCATATGCACTTGCATATTCTAAAAAATATACATAAATTACCTCACAAAATCACGTAAGTTTTCACAAACATACTTAAGTTAATCCATAAATAATTGAGAAATCACAACTTATGTATATTTATGAGAACCCTGTAACTATCTTGCCACATTTACATAGGAGAACAAATAACAAACAATTATTAGATAGTGATGCTATATCACTAATATCACTGTTATATTACCCAAAAAAAAAAAAAAATCTTAAATTTGTGAGGGAATGAAGCCATACCTTTGATTTATTTATTTAATTTTTTTTTTGTTTTTTTGTTAAGAGGCAATAAATTAAAAGAAAAACAGAGTACAAGAACAAAAAAAATAAAAAGAGAAATTTGGTGATAGACCCCTCACTGTCTAATTTGTCTTTTAAAAGGACAAAAATTATATAGATCCTTTCAAAATCCCCTAATATTTTAAAACTTGTTTCTTTTACTATACTACCCTCACACACACACACATATATATATATATATATATATCAACTCTCCAGTAAAGGTATCCTCACAATGTATTTCAGAGTAAAATTTACTCTGAATCAAAGTAAAATTTATTATGATTCAAAGTAAAATTTTATAGCATTAAACAAATCAACATGTTTTTAACCAGAGTAAAATTTTACTGTTACAAAAAATAAAATGCATACTAAATGAATGAACTAAAGTCAAATTTTACTTTTAGATCTATGAACAAATAAACAAAAAAAGAAGCCAATTGATATGCATTTTTGCTCACTCTCTATACGTTCCAACCCCAATCACACCAATGTTCTCCATCTCAAACAGATCAGAGCTTGCATAGCTCATATAATCATTCATCATGCATTGAACCCCACTGCTAGGCCTAATAGAACTCTCATGTTCCTTCACTTCGCCATCTCCACTCCTAAAATCAAAAGCAAAGGTCTGAACATATTAATATATATGTATATAAGGAGAGAGAAAGTAAGACTTTTGAGTTTGAACAGAAGAGTAAGATTGAGATCTCAGGTCTAACGTGAGGTGGAGATTTCAAATCTGACGCAATCTGAGGAAAGAGGCGACAGCGGAGGGGGGAAGACGATGGAGTTGGAAAGAGAGACCGACTAAGATGAACAAGAGATGAGAGAGAGAGAGAGAGCGGAGATATGAGATCTGAGCACCACAGTGGTGAGATCGTCGTGATCGAATTGAAGATCTAGTTGAGGGTATAATAGTCAGATAAAATATTTAAATAATAAATTTTGTCCTTTATACAAAACTTTATAATTATGAGGGGGTTTTAAAAGGATAATTTATTTTTTTTAACAAGAAAATGAAGATAAGATGGGTTTATGGCCAAGTTTCCCTAAAAAAGGGGACTCCGTATAACCTGACCTCTTTAGTTTTTACCTCGTCTCCTCGGCCTCTATCATGATCTCGACATGTGCTACGACTTCAACAAGCCGGTCATATTACCTAATCATATTGCCGAAAACTAAAAATCTATGTAGGAAACAAAGGGAATATCACAAAACTCCCTATTCCTAACATAAAAAGTCTAGATCTACATTCTAGAAGTATAAATGTACATTTTAAAAGTGTGAAAAAGGTTGTCGGATCATCATCAAAACTTGGACAGGAATCACCTAAAGATTGAAGCTCTCGTCCCTCTCTCTCTAGAACTCAATCTTTCATTGTTGATACGGTTTTTAGACTATTTTTTATTTTATAAACAAATTGACGATTAAAATCCCGATGCAACTGCCATTAAAATAGGAAGTTATGCAGGAAGCAAACTTTTTTCTACACAATTTTTGTTGGTAGTGTTTAATTCATTGGAATGAAATGATCATTCTATTAAAATGTTTATTCTCATGTTTAATTGATTAAAAAAATAATAATAAATACATTACAATTGTAATCAACAGTTATCAAATTGAATGATCATTCAATAGTAGAGTTTAAAGAATGATCATTATATTCCATTCAATTTCATTCTATCTCATTCCCATATATCAAATAGAACATATCAGATGTGTCAAAATTACCTCCCATTGTGACAAAAGAGTGATTCCATAGTTGTGAGACTTGTACCATGCAAGTCGGGACTACATTATTGGGGTGAGTTTGGTTACTTTGTCCATAAATTCTTATATCTCTAAACCTCTCTTTTCATGTTGTATAGTTAAGAGAGAGGCGTGAAAAAGGGACATAAACATTGGGACAAGGACTTAACTTATGACTACGCTATTAAAGTTGACAAAGTTTGGTTCCTTTATCTCAAAATGCTCGTGTCCCTATGTTTCAAACCTCTCTTATCATGTTGTACGACTGAAAAGAAAGGCACACATATTGGTATGAAAACTATTGTGCTGAGGTTTGATATGACCTATTCCTATGAAAATGAAAAGCAAAGCAAAATGAAGAGCATTAACACACAGTTCAACAAATTCAAGGCACAACTCAAGCTACAATTGCAGCCTTAGCTCAAGTTATAGCTCAAGGTCTTAGGCTTAGGTTAGGCTTAGGTTTAGGCTTAGCTATTTTGTTGCATGGTACAAAATAGCTTAAACAAAATATCTTAGACCACTATTTGTTTTTAACTTAAATGGGCCAAAATCAGTTAATAGTCACGAGAAGGCCCGGGGAACACCGCAAACACCTTAACAAGGGCCGATGTAAGTTGTGGAAACTTATAGAACTAGCGTGGGACACCCATTTTGAAAACTAAGTGGAAAAAGACACTTTTTTCACACTTAAGTTTGAAAATAGTCCATTAGGGTCCAAAACTGTGTAACAGTCACGAGAAGGCTCAGGGAACATCTCAAACACCTCGGGAGAGAGCATTGTAAGTTGTGGAAACTTACGGAACTGGCACAAGACTCCCGGTTTGAAAACTAAGTCAAAAAATGTACTTTTTCACACTTAAGGTTGAAAATAGGCCATCTGGGGCCAAAATCTTGTAAGAGTCACAACAAATCCCCGGGAACAACTCAAACACCTCGAGAAGGACCAATGTAAGTTGTCGAAACTAACGAAACTAGCACGGGACTCCCCGTTTGAAAACTAAGTCAAAAAATGCATTTTTTTCACACTTAAAGTTAAAAATAGGCCATCGGGGGCCAAAATCCTGTAACAGTCACAAAAAGGCACGGTGAACACCTCAAACACCTTGGGAGGGAGCAATGTAAGTTGTGGAAATTTACGGAACTGGCATGGGACTCTCGATTTGAAAACTAAGTCGAAAAATGCACTTTTTCACACTTAAGGTTGAAAATAGGCCATCGGGGACCAAAATCATATAACAGTCACGAGAAGGCCTGGGGAACACTTCAAACATCTCGGGAAGGAGCAATGTAAGTTGTGGAAACTTATGGAACAAGTACGGGACTCCCGGTTTAAAAACTAAGTCAAAAAATGAACTTTTTTTTAGACTTAAGCTTGAAAATAGGCCATCGGGGGCCAAAATCGTGTAACAGTCACGAGAAGGCCTGGGGAACACCACAAACACCTCGGGAAGGACCAATGTAAGTTGTGAAAACTTACAGAACTGGCACGGGGCTCCCGATTTGAAAACTAAGTCAAAAAATGCACTTTTTTCACACTTTAGGCCATCGGAGGCCAAAATCGTGTAACAGTCATGAGAAGTCCTGGGAAACACTTCAAACACATCGGAAGGGACCAGTGTAAGTTGTTGAAACTTACGAAACTAGCACAAGACTGCCGATTTGAAAACTAAGTCCAAAAAGGCACTTTTCTCAAACTTAAGCTTGAAAATAGGCCATCGGGAAGCCAAAATCTTGTAACAGTCACGAGAAAGCCCTGGGAACACATCAAATACCTCGGAAGGGACTAATGTAAGTTGTGGAAACTTACAGAATTAGCACGAGACCCCGGTTTAAAAACTAAGTAAAAAAATGCACTTTTATGACACTTAAGATTGAAAATAGGGCATCGGGGGCCAAAATTGTGTAACAATCACGAGAAGGCCCAGGGAACACTTGAAACACCTCGGGAGGGAGCAATGTAAGTTGTGAAAACTTACGAAACCAGCACAAGAGTCCCAGTTTTAAAACTAACTCAAAAAAGGCACTTTTTTCAGACTTAAGCTTGAAATTAGCCATCGAAGGCCAAAATCGTGTAACAGTCACAAGAAGGCTCGGGGAACAACTGCAACATATCGGGAGGGAGCAATGTAAAGTTTGGAAACTTACGGAACTGGCACGGGACTCCCGGCTTAAAAACTAACTCAAAAAATGCACTTTTTACACATTTAAGATTGAAAATAGGTCATCGGGGGCCAAAATTATTTAACAATCATGAGAAGGCCTGTGAAACACCTCAAACACCTCGAGAGTGACCAATGTAAGTTGTGGAAACATACAGAACTGGGACGGGACTCCCGGCTTGAAAACTAAGTCGAAAAATGCATTTTTTTCACACTTAAGCTTTAAAATAGGAAATCGGGGGCCAAAATCATGTAACAATCATAAGAAAGCCCGGGACAACTCAAACACCTCAGGAGGGAGCAATGTAAGTTGTAAAAACTTACGGAACTGGTACGGGACTGCCGGTTTGAAAACCATGTCAAAAAATGCACTTTTTTCACACTTAGGCTTAAAAATAGGCCATTGGGGGCAAAAATCATGTAACAGTCATGAGAAGGCCCGGGGCACACCTCAAACACCTCGGGAGGGACCAATGTAAGTTATGGAAACTTACGAAACTAGCACGGGACTACCGGTTTCAAAACTAAGTCAAAAAATGCCCTTTTTTCACACTTAAGTTTGAAAATAGGCCATCGAGGGCCAAAATTGTGTAACAGTCATGAGAAGGCCCGATGAACACCTCAAACACCTCGAGAGGGACCAATGTAAGTTGTGGAAACTTACCGAACTAGCACAGGACTCCCGGCATGAAAACTAACTTGAAAAAGGCACTTTTTTCAAACTTAAGTTTGAAAATAGGCGACTGGAGGCCAAAATCGTGTAACAGTCACGAGAAGGCCCGGGAACACCTTAAACACCTCGAGAGAGACCAATGAAGGTTGTGGAAACATACGAAACTGTCACGGGACTCCCAGTTTGAAAACTAAGTCCAAAAAGCCATTTTTCTCACACTTAAGCTTGAAAATAGGCTATCGGGGGCCAAAATCGGGTAATAGTCACGAGAAGGCCCCGGTAACACATCAAACACCTCAGGAGGGACCAATGTAAGTTGTGAAAATTTACGGAACTAGCACGGGACTTGCGGTTTGAAAACTAAGTCAAAAAAGACATTTTTTCACACTTAAGCTTGAAAATAGGCTATCGGGAGCCAAAATCCTGTAACAGTCACGAGACGTCCTGGGGAACACCACAAACACCTCAGGAGGGACCAATGTAAGTTGTGGAAACTTACGGAAGTAGCACGGGACTCCTGGTTTGAAAACTAAGTCCAAATGGGCACCTTTTTCCCACTTAAGCTTGAAAATAGGCCATCAGGGGCCAAAATTGTGCTACAGTCACGAGAAGGCCCAGGGACACATCAAACACCTTGGAATGGACCAATTTAAGTTGTGGAAACTTACTAAACTAGCACGGGGACTCCCCGTTTGAAAACTATGTCAAAAATTTAACTTTTTTCGCACTTAAGCTTGAAAATGGGCCATCGGGGGCCAAAATTATGTAACAGTCACGAGAAAGCTAGGGCAACACATTGAAAGGGGCCTATCTAAATCGTGGAAACTTACAGAACTAGTATGGGAATCCTGGTTTGAAAACTAAGTCAAAAATGACACTTTTTTCACACTTAAGCTTGAAAATAAGCATTCGGGAGCCAAAATCGTGAATCAGTTACGAAAAGGCCAGGAAACACCTCAAACACCTCGGGGGGGATCAATGTAAGTTGCGAAAACTTACGGAACTGGCATGGGACCACCGTTTTGAAAACTAAGTCAAAAAAGGAACTTTTCTCACACTTAAGCTTGAAAATAGGCTATCGGGGGACAAAATCGTGTAACAGTCACAAGAAGGCCCAATGAACATATCAAACACCTTAGGCGGGACCAATGTAAGTTGTGAAAACTTACGGAACTACCACGGGACTCCCAGTCTGAAAAGTAAGTCCAAAAAGCCACTTTTCTCACACTTAAGGTTGAAAATAGGCCATCGGGGGCCAAAGTCGTATAACAGTCATGAGAAAGCCCTAGGAACCCATCAAACATCTTTGGAGGGACCAATGTAAGTTGTTGAAACTTACAGAACTAGCACGGGACTTCTGGTTTGAAAACTATGTCAAAAAATGCACTTTGTTCACACTTAAGCTTGAAAATAGGCCACTGGGGCCAAAATCATGTAATAGTCACGATAAGTCCCGGGAAACACCTCAAACACCTCAAGAGGGACCAATGTAAGTTGTGAAAACTTACGGAACTAGCACGAGACTCCTAGTTTGAAGACTAAATCCAACAAGGCACTTTTCTCCCACTTAAGCTTGAAAATAGGCCATCGGAGGGCCAAAATCGTGTAACAATCATAGGAAAGCCCCAGGAAGTAATCAAACACCTTGGGAGGGACCAATGTAAGTTGTGGAAACTTACGAAACTAGCACGAGACTCCCAATTTGAAAACTAAGTCAAAAAATGCACTTTTATCACACTTAAGATTGAAAATAGGCCATCGGGGACCAAAATTGTGTAACAGTTACGAGAAGGCAAGGGAAATACCACAAACACCTTGAGAGGGACCAATGTAACTTGTGGAAACTTTCAGAACCAGCACAGAACTCCCGGTTTGAAAAGTAAGTAAAAAAAGGCACTTTTTTTACACTTAAACTTGAAAATAAGCCATTAGGGGCCGAAATCCAGTAACAGTCACGAGAAGGCCCGGGGAAGATTACGCCAAACTTCGTTGAAAGGTCAACAACATATGTCCACTATATTTTCCAGAACTTGAGCCATCAATGATGCCGATAAGCTAAATGGGGATGATCTAGCTGGTGAAAAAGGGGTACTCTAAACAGTTGATGCTGCTTTTGTTCTTCTGCTTCGTGTGATCGGTGGCAAAGAAACTAACACTGGCTATCTTTAAACCAAAT